CTCCCAACCTTCACCACTGCCTTTCTCAATCCCATCCACTCCGTCCCCTCCCCTCCCCTCTCCTCTCCTCTCCTCTCCCTCCTTCCCTGGCTCCCTCCACTTCATGTGACTGTCAGCTGCTTCTGTTCTCTTTTGCCCCCAGAAGTAGCTGAAGCCTCTCTGACATTTATGCGTGAAAAAGTGAGTGGTTGAGATAAGAGGAAGGAAGGCTTGAGATGGGTGTGTTACATTTTGCTCACTACTCATGTCAGCCCTGATTACACATCTTTCCTGACATAAGCAGCTGGCCTCAAACCTCTTGTGGATGTCTAGGCTTTATGGTTTTTCAGTGGTCAAACAAAAGGAAGCACCTCGCCTCTATTATGAGGAAATTCTTCTGCTTTAAAACGTGCGTGACCTGATCTGTTCGTGTTGAAGGGGACCAGTAACATTTAATTATAAAGTGGGAAACTGTGGCTTGACAAAACACATCAGCTATTGAGGAAGTGAGAGGAAACATCAAGTGGCTCCCTAATTGGCTAAATGAGTTGTCAGTTCAGTCAGAGCGGCCAATCACATGAAAGACTGTGGGAACTGAGTCCCGCCTCTGCCGCGTCACTAGCACTAAAAAATTCTTCTCATGTTTCTGTTAAATTTGGAGCTTATTATTAAACATTTTAGAGTATGAATGACGAGATTAAAAGCATTATTGTGTGCCTTTACTCCCCTGGCAGTGTGGTCGTAAAATTGTGAAACCTGTTATTGATAATGTAAGTTAAACTACTGATGTCAAATTAATCCAACGGAACTCAACTCCTCACACATACAGCTAGTTTCAAAAGCAACTGCGACTTACCGATTCTCTGACCGACAGGCGTTGAAAAGGGGTTTCCAATGAGGAACTCCATTTTCTCCCCGAGAGAAAACATTCTCGAAATTTTCAGCCGTCCACTCTGTGTTAAAGTGATTTAGCAAATTATTGTGCTGTTTCCTTTTGGTTTCAGTGTCTACCGCTGCTTCAGAGGCGCACTGGCTCTCTGAGGGGTCACGTGAAAACACACTCACAGAGCCAGGAAACAGACATCAACACACAGGCAGACAACCGCTGGTTTAATCACGTCGAAATACCTTTTGAAAAGTTGCTTACAAGCAAATAGAGAAATTTTATTTTCAGTTGCAATCCTAACATCAATTCAACATTAAACCCTCAGGTGTCCTCAGGAATAACATTTTAATAAAATAAAAAAAAATATCATATATCAAAATATTAAAGTCTTCAAAAGTTAGCTAAAATGCTAAATACTCATCAAAAATAAATGTCATGCACTCGAAATCTTTACAGAAAAAGTATTATCAGCACATACATGATGGATAAAAAGTCAAATTATCTATTGAGCAGAATTGTCCCTTTTATATCCAGTCTATGGTCCCTTCCAGGGTTTTGATATTATGTATGTGTAACTGATAATATTGGCAGTGGTGGAAGAAGTGATGAGTTCTCCTTCTTAAACAATAGGAGAAATATCACAATGAAAAACAAAATCATTAGCGTAAAGGTCCTGCATTCAAACTACCATAAACCAAATGTAGGCCTATTTAAAGTACTCTTTATGCAAAAAGGGCTGAAAATCATTTGTGTGTACATGTAAGCAGGATTTTAATGTTGAAGTAGAGTACAGTTTAACAACTGTAAAAGGGGTAGGCTACTATTGGGCAGCTTAAAATAAACCATGTTTTAAGAACTGATCAAGTTTTACATATAAAAACTTGATCGGAAAGGTAGGCTAACTAGTAACCATTACTGTCATGTGACAGTCATTGTAGTGGAGTAAAAAATTTCCATCTAAAGTATCAAAAAATTGAAATGCCTAAGTAAAGTATGCGTATTTATATCTTATATCTTTTATTTCTCCCTTCCCCCATCTCTGACTTTAGAGGAACATACTTTGCAGAAATGTAAGTAAGTGTATGTTTATGACATACAGTGTCTCATATGGGACAGTGAGGGAAGCGTGGCCCAGTGCTTCTAGCAAAGAGACCAAGTCTACAAAAGTGGAAATGAAAGAGTGATCTACTCCCTCAGCCTGAAAGTTTATATTTCAAAGAAACCTTAAACACGACATAACTTGCTGGAGGACCTCTACATATTATATTTCTTTGAATAATGTGAAACCTAATGTCTTGTGACAGATAATATGTGCAGGTCTTGTCTTTGTGTACATACACAGTACAGCTATTGTGTGTTGCAGCACCAATATAAACTTTGCAGCAGCCTATAAGACAAGACGGTGTTGTGTTGCAGGAGCAGAAATATGTTGTTAGAGAAATTCTGACCTGGTTGTTCTTGTACATAGGGCTACCATAGTTTGCTGAGCTGTTAAATAATAAAATGATAATAATAACAAAAATCATTTCATGAGCAAAGAGCCTCCTTTAGTATTAGAAGATGTGGGACCTGATGCAGCTCATAACCAATATCTTGAAAGTTCACAGCACATGTGAGCATGCCCTCTACTACTATGAGTACTTTGAGTCACTCGTTTCAAGCTTTAGGACGGACTCTCTCTGTGAATCGTCCTTGGGACTCAGTCTGTCCAAGATCACTGCCTGAGGACTTTTGACCAATGGGAAAATGACAGCCCCTGTACATGCAGAAGACGAGGTTGAAATGAATAATATGCAAATTAGGGATTACTAACTGTTAACTGTGGTTAGTTGTCAGAAATTCCAACACCAACATCTGAAACCATAGATAAATAACTGACTTGTGTGATGTTCTGGTTTTGACACTTTTAAGAAAGCAGCACCACCTTGTGTCTTTAATGTAGCCTGCATTACAAAAGAACAGCAGTCACTTACTAAAAATCACAATCATATATTAAAAGCTACTGACTTATGATTTAAAACTCTTATTTATATTGTTTACCTGTTTCTCATATACTGTATATCTGTTTCTCCAAGGTTTTCACAACACAGTGTCCTATAGAAATTGTTTTGCTACATCTTGTCTATTTCTATCTGTTTTTTAAATTTCATATTAAATAATTTAGATGTTATTATGAATATTACTCATGTATTACTGTATTCAAGCAATACAATGATTATTTTCATTATTGATTAATCTCCTCATTATTTTCTCCATTTATCAGTTGATTGTTTGGTTTGTAAAAATGTAAAAAATTGTGAGACATGTCCTTTCAAATTTAACCAGAGTCCAAAGTGACACTTTCAAATTCACGTTTTTTCCAAGCAATAGTCAAAATCTCAAAATTAGAATTAAAACTACATTAAAATAATCAAAATAATTAAAAAGAAAAGTAGCAAATCCTTTAAATTGAAAGACTGAAACCATGAATTTTTCTGGCGTTTTGTATAAAAAAACTCGAATGGCAATTCAATTTTTGTCAATTAACGTATTGTTTCAGCTCTTTTCTGTAGCCTGTGACTGTGTGACGTCCTTGTGTATTTTTGCATCATTGCCACTAGGTGGCAGCATTGAATCTACGTGTGAAAGACGGTGATCGATCTGATTTGTTGCTCCACACATGCAACCCCACATTGACAACTAACAAACCATGATGGATATAGACATTGGTGTGTTACTGAATAATTACAATAAGTTGATTATCAGGTCGTCTATTTCTTTGGGAATTCCCACTGATGTGATCGTGACTGAGGGGTTATACTGTTGTGAGTGCATGTTGCATCCATAAGTTGTGCCTCTGAGAAGAATGTACCTTACAGTAAATAGAAAGTAAGTAATAAATGGAGGTATTTTAGAAATAATTCCTCACAGTCAGACGTATGATCTCATAGAATAGCTCTATAGCACTCAATTGTATGGCTAACTCCAGATCAGGTGTCCTTACCCATCTCATATAATAATCACTAATCATGTTTTTGGACAACTTGGTTGTATCTGTATCAGCTGTTTCTCTGGGAAATATGAATGATGACGATGTCTAAACAATGATGTGAGGACAAAGACTACAACCTGCTATATACTCTTTGCCATTTTTTAAATTTTATGTCCTCCGACTGCTTAAAAAATATGCCCAGCAGTCCAACATCAAAACATGAGAAGAGTAATTACACATTTTGATTGATCCAGTAATTTAACGATGTTAAGATGACATCTAGTGACCTTTGAGTTCCTCAGTTCCCTGGGCCACAGATACCTCCAGGCTCCCTTTAATGCTTTTATGATCCTGGCAGCAAAATGCAAAGCAAAAGGACTTTTTATTGCTCAGCCTCAGTTATCACATTTAACGTAAACTTACAACTTTCACAGCATCTTAACAGGTGTGCTGCCTCCCTTTTTGCAGACACACTGCTCCACTCAAAGCATTGTGGTTTCAGCAGATTGAAGGGCCAGATTAGAAAGCCCAGAGGAATGCTGGGTCAGAGTGTGGCCATGAGGAGAAAACCAGTGTGTTATCTCTTTTCTCCAGGCTGCACCATCCAGCATAATGCAGCAACTTAAAAACCCTCACGCCATTGTTCACACAATAAGAGGTCTGTATCAGCCCTCTGTGGCCAGTGGCATTCATGTTTCCTGACAATACGTTAGCAGGCAGCACATGAAACAGCTGTACGGCAGGAAATCATGGAGAGGAAGTGTTTACTTATAACTGTGTTCATTCATGTTTGAATAAAAAGCCGTTTGAAGTAGATTAACTGAGGGAAATATTTGTCTTTTCTCGATGTTTCCAGTAGACTCCCACTAAAACATTAACGTGTCTGAGCAGAATGTTGTGGGAAACTTGTAGGAAACGACAAATAAACACATTTTAATCCAAAACTGCGGCACAACAAATGGCACAATCATGGAAATAACGAGGAAATGTGATGTATGTGTAAATGCACTTGTGTGTGAATGTGTGTGTGGTTGCTGTGGTTGTAAATTGATCCCTCCTACTCTCGCTGGTTCGTTGTGCAGAGGAGGGGCGAAGAGGAGAAGGAGGAGGAAGAGGAGGAGGAGGAGGGAGCCGAAGCAGGAAGGAAGGCAGGCAGAGAGGGAAGGGAGGCAGGCTGTGAATGCTAACGAGCCCCATCGTAATCATACAGCTCCGTAGGTAGGGTTTGATAAAACATCTTGCAATGGAGAGGAACGACGACCACTATTAAAGACCTACTATGCGCCAGTGCCGCGTTCGCCCTGTGCGCGTGCAGCAGCCTCACCGTCGTCGGCACGTTTGATCAGAAAAACCGTCTTTTTCCGCTGAGTGAAATGTATCGCGACTGCTCGGGATTCACATTCTGACAATGGAGATTGAAAATATCGTGGCCAACACGGTTCTCCTGAAGGCAAGGGAAGGTAAGCTGTGCTCTGTGGCGAAAAAAGAATAAATTAAATGTTATTTTTCTCACCCACCTCAACGACATGGTCATGGACGAGCCTGGGCAGTCGGCAGTCCTCCTTGGGATTTATGCTTTCTCTGTCTCCCATCCCTGCGCAGCGCTTTGTCTCCAGGCAAACACAAAACATATTCCGTTGAAATCAGCTGTTTGTACACTAACAACACACATATTTACCGGACAGGTTAACAGAAGGCCCAGGAGGCTGGACATGAACAACGCAGGGAGTGTTTGCAGCATCGCGCTTAGATGGCAGCGTTTCATTACAGGCGGTCGAGCAAATTTTTTCACACAAGCACCAGTGGTTTTGTGCATATTTACAATTTACGATGACATAACGGATATTTAATGGTATTCCCATTACATGGCACTGAGTGTAAAGCGAAATATAGCTGCGCAGTGGGGCTCTGTGACAGAGTACAGCCTCTTCTTACCTGTCATTGTAGGTTTCTGTGTGTTTAAAGCCTAATTAGGAAGGTAAAGTGGACGTGTGGTATTATTTGACGCAGATAAAAGCCACTGCATTGCTTTTTGGATGCTGACTACGAGCTGCTTGAATGAAAGAATAATGTTACAGTGGAGGTTTTAGATTCAGAGGGATAGTGGAAGATGGCCCACCATGTACCCCGGCGGCCCAGGCGCTACAGCCCCGGGTGTGCACGCTGCTCAGTGGGCCGGTGATCCCACAGCAGCTCACTGGAGGTGGAAAAGAGGCGAATATCCATCTGTTTTCCAGGAGATGGCAGAGCAGAGAGGCTACTTTGTAGCCAGTGAGTGGGCGCAAGGTGGGTGTGCAACACTGTATCAGCAGCCAGAGGAGGGGGAAAAGGTGTTAGTACAGCTCAACGATTGTGTTTTTTTTTTCTCTCTGAGCTCTGATCGGACTGGACACCAGCAGCAGGGTCTGTGGTCCCAGAGGATATTGTGCAAGTTGATCCGTTTTATTCGACAGCAGAGTCGCTCACAGTGCGTAGCTACATGGCTCGGGGGGTCGCGGTTCAGTGTGCGTATGCAGAGGCCTCCCCTGCTTATGGTTTGCATTATATTCAGTCTGCGTTTCAGTTCAAGACTAAACGCCAACACTGCTGTGAAATGGATTATTCACAGCAGCAGTGAATCCATTTCATAGCAGCAGCTGCTCCTTACGAGGCATCATTAAATGGTGCTAGGCATTGTCATGAGTGTTACCCCGTGAGGTTATTGTACACTGATCGGATCTACAGGCTCAGTACCTGTCAGTGTCCATAGTCTGTTTTTATCACCAGAGGTTTAGGTTATGTACAATTGGAGACTGAATTTAAATAAAAAAGTAGATGAATCAATAAGTAGTTGCAGACATATCAAGTTTTGATATGCTCCATCACATCATACATGTTGACTATACAGTCAGTGTTGTTTTTTTCCTTTATATTTCTCCCTGCTATATCATTCACTATCTTAATTATTACACAGATTAAAACAGCTAATGGCTCCCAATTTATTCCTTTAAGGTGCACAGGAGACTCATTCGATGTTAATTCACCTTTCCAGTGGTGGATGTTTGTTGCTGTCAAAGTGTTTAGATATGTCACAGTGACGGTTAGTGCTGGAAGTGTCACAAGCTGTGGAGCGAACCCCACTTTTAATCACACAAAACCAGAGACAAAGCAGTTTCTGTGCATCAGAGGTCAGCAGAGTTTCTCTTCAGTCACCTTCATGCTACATGGCATCTGCACGCAGCAGAAGGCTACATGGAGCTGGGTCTGAGCCACTGAGTCAGCAAGAGTTTGCCCTGCTGATGTGTCCTTGAGCAAGACATTAAATCAGTTGTTCTGTAACTCTCTGACCTCGCTGCAGAGAGGGGAAATGACAGACAATTTCCCAGGTTGGTGCTTACGAAGAATGCTTTGTGCACACACAATCATAGGTTTTCATTGTGGATGTGCAGTTTTATCCATCTCCCAATTAACACTTTACCAACAACACCATACTGCACTTCTATTAGTACCTAGAAAACTTTTGGGTCTGGTCTCAAGATGCTCAAAACTTTGACTCATGAGTCACTTTTACATACCTGTTGATGTGAAACTGGGTGGCCAGAGTCAGAAGTGTTATGACAGGGTGTGCCCAGTCTGCTGCAGTTGAAATGACACGTCAAGGGAAGTGGTTAGAGATGACACTTCTCCCAACACTCCCCGCCAGTGCATCTATAAATTTCACGCATACATTTGGTACAAAATGTAGAAAGGAAAACTACCACATTTACAGTCTTTAGATTTTCCCTTTGCTCTCTAGCTGCTCAGCCTGCATGAAGAGACGGTTGCATGAGGTGAAAGTCTTCCACAGTTGAAGGAAGTTATTGCTAAAGCTCCCCTGAGAATATATTAGAAATTTTTTGAAATGGTGACTGTGAGAATAGCGAGAGGATATCTTTTGGCAGGGATGCAACCCACAGTTTGTGTGGATGTAAAAGCTCAGCCAAGCATACCAGAGTTATTTTCAACATAGCAGTTTGCTTCCACATTGTCTCATTCAGTATAACATCAGGAGTATCTCATCAGTAACTGTACTGTGAGTGTAAATCCTTTTCAAGCTGTTAACTACCCATATTCACTATTTACCTGTACATGATATATATGGCATATATTGGCTGATATTCACAGAAACGCTGCAGTGCATAATGCAGTTAAAAGCACTTGAGATAATTTAGAAACAGTGTTATCATAGTTTGTCCCGCAGACTCCACTGTTTACAATACTTTGCAGCACCTGAGTTGGCAGAGCACCCTATCACAGTGGAGCAGATGGTGGTGTGAAGTCTGTGAGGAAGAATTATGTTCAGTCTTCAGCTCTAAAATATCCTGCCTCCATTACATTTATTTGTCAGAGCTCTTTAATAACCAAATTTGGGGGTCGTTTTTTAAAAAAAAAAAAAAATCAATTCCACATAAAAAGGTTTTGTTCATATGTGTCTTGTAACTTAACATACAGTTGTATCTCAGTTAAAAACAAGTTGTGCCACCGAAAATTTATATGAGACATACCTTTCACAGACCTCGAAAAGTCAACGATGCTAATCCTAATCTCCCCGCTGATGCTGTAAACAATTAAAAACAATGCTGAAGTTGTAAATTTCACATTACAGAAATTATTATGTGAAACTGTTCCAATTTGTCCTTCTGATCGGGCTTGACAGATGACGTACACATTAATTGATACCTTTTTTTTTTTTAAGTTGAAAACAGAATTTAACTCAAGTTTTTTAACTTGACACTGGAGTTTCTGTGAAGCATGTCTGCATTAAACAATCTGCAGGAGGATAATTTAAACTATTAAAGCATGAGCACTCACTGTGTTGTACTTTGTTTTGGGTGATGTACTGTACCATGAAGGCAGGAGAGGAGGATATGGGTGTTGTAGTTTTTTGGTGACAGCTCTCTAGCACCTGGGGATTGAATTAAGTTGAACACATTGACATAATCAGGTCAGTTAGTGTCGGTGAATTTGCAGTTTATTTATCTAACTGAAGGGGCATTATTTACCAGAATGCCCTTATTTACTTGTTTCATTCAGTTGTGAGTACCAAAACGTTTTATAGGGTGAAATCCTTTAATTTTGAACTGATTAAACATGGACAGTTTTTCTGTGTAATAAACTAGATAATTTCCATTGCATGGCTTTAACTGACTTTGGTCTCAGATCCTAAGATTCAAGTTTTGAAGGAGTGATATGTCAGTGCTAAGAAGCAATGAAATTGTCCAAAGGGCCAAGAGAAAGTGGATCAAATGGTGCAGCTGAGTGTTTATTATTCAAAACAAACACCAGGGAAATTAACATATTTAGACCAGATATTACAATTCAAACACATACTTTACTTTCTTATTCAAATGTAAAGAGAGACTGGATGTGAAGGGTGTTTCACTACTTGTACCTCTCTCTCCTGGAGTCAGATTTCACTAGATATTTTTCTGCTGTGTTTCTGTCATCATTCCTACTGTCTTCATAAAAAGGAAGGAATGTGGACAGTCCAGTGCTCAAATTCCTCTGACAAACAGAAGAAACTTTAATCCTGTTTAATCTATGACTCATTTCTATCTTACAAGTTGGAAGCTTTGTTTATTCTTTTTTGCAGTGTAACATTACAAATGTAAGTGGATGCACCTCTGATGTTGGTGTCACTAATCTCTCTGTACTCTCAGCCCCCCTCTCCACCAGGCTTCAAATTGTAGGCTAGCAGGTCCTCTCAGACCACTTGTGAGGGTTTTCCTGTGACGTTAGCCAGCGTAGCTTTATTAGTTTTGCGGCCATAGCTGGGCTAACACTTGTTGTCATCACCCTGGGGTGTTTCCTCCAGCTGAGCCTCGTAAAACACGTTGCTTTGTGACAGTGCCTTGATGTGGGACTCATGTTACAGTTATGACACCCACAAATGGGCTGTGCGGAGAATGAGACTCAGTGTGTTGCGTACGCGCCTCTGCTGTACGGCACTAGCAGCGACGTTTAGCTGGGTGGCTACTGGGATGTTCATTAGCACAATTTCTTGGCAAGCTGACTAACCATAAAGAGGCACTTTTTGAGGCACTTTGTGAACATCATAGGGACGTTGTTCCAGCTGCCTTATTAAATGTTAAATGGGCGTTCTTCCTATGAGAAGCCAGCTGTCAGCCTGATTTTAACAGTGCGTACGATTGAGTGTACTTATGGTTCAAATAAAGATTTTGTTTCCCTGAAAAGACTTTTTAGAGGCCGGGTAGAGCTAGAGTCGAGCAGCAAGTGCATTAAATGTCAAAGGTCTCTCTTTTTTTTTTTTTTTTTTTTTTTTTAATTCAATTTAACTTTTTCAAAACATTCTTTTTGGCGTCTGCCCTTGGTTAAATTTCAAGTTGTCTTATCAATGATAATCTTTCAGGCGTATTATGTGCTATGTGTTCCACACTCAAGGGCTCGGTGCTGGAGGGGCTGCTTTTTTGTGTGTGTTCCT